ATGGGATGCTCTAAAGATGTTTAGCTACTCCTGAGACACAGGGGCGTCCTGCTTGATGTCTAGGATGATTCACAAGAGATTCCTCTCTTTCTAGTGAAAAGGCTGTTCACTAAGAACAATGATAAGAAGGTCTCCAAAGAGACGATTTGTTTGAGCCAAAGCTTAAGTTTATTGAATAATGGTTAATGATACATGGAGGATCGTGTGCAACATAAATAAGAAAGCAAAAACGAAATCCTAAGCTAAAGAAAACCCTAAACCAAAACCAAAACCAAATCGGTTTATGAAAACCAAATCCTAATTCTAGTTGGTTTATAAGAACCAAATATTTTTCCTAATTGGTTTAAACTTAATAAAATCAAAATTAAACTTAAAATAAATCATCTTGGACGTGCCTAATCTTCTTGGGCTAATCATAGTCCAGGCTGGCTTGTCTTTCCATTTTTTGGGCCGATAAAGGCCTTTTTCGAACAACTCTTTCTTGGGCTCGATCCATCTTGTTCCAAGTCCGACCAAGTTGCTCCTTATGCTCATTTGGATGATAAATATCCTCCTCATGTTCCATTTCCAGCTATGGTTCTTCATCTTCCATTTCCAACTCATTTCTTGGCCATGTCGGTTTGACCCGTCCATTTCTTGATCACACTGAATTTCCCAATCCATTTCCTGTCCAACTAGCCTCCTCCCATCCATGTCCTTGTCAATGAAGGTTCTCACTGGTCGTCCATGCTTCTCCAAAGTCAGTCCATACTTGGTTAAGACTGCATCAAGGCCCATAGCCTTTTCTCGGTCCAATACTTCATGAATTAGGCCAATAAGCTCTCCAACAAGCCCTTTAGGCCGTGCCATGATCCATTGCCTAGATCCTTCCTGAGTTGACTTCATGTTCTTGAGAATGAAACTGATCAGGGTCGCACCACTGAAGGATGTGTTGGTCGTGTTGCTGCTAAGCTCGAAATGATGGAATCTTGCTCCAGCGTCAAAGACAGGTTCTCTCATTCAGACCAGAACTCTCTGCTATGTTTGAGTTACGGTTTTGAAGTAAAAAATTACTACTTTGTTCCCTTTTTTGCAGGATTGGTTTTAGCATGATCTCTGATGCAGAGAAGAAGGGTTTGATTAAATCAGGAGAGGTTCAATTTGAGATCCAATCCTTCCAAAACCACTAATAGTTTCTTTGTTTCATTATGTAAGACTTTTTCTGTTTTCTTATTTAGAATGTGTTGGTCGTGTTGCTATGTTTGAGTTACAGTTTTAAAGTAAAAAGTTTACTACTTTGCTCCCTTTTTTGCAGTCTTGGTTTTAGCATGATCTCTGATGCAGAGAAGGAAGGTCTGATTAAACCAGGAGAGGTCCAATTTGAGATCTTATCCTTCCAAAACCACTAATAGTTTCTTTGTTTCATTATGCAAGACTTTTTTTCTGTTTTCTTCTTTAGAATCTGTTGATTGAGCCAACGAGTGGAAACACTGGAGTTGGACTAGCATTCACGGGGGCTGCCAAGGGCTACAAGCTTATTATCACCATGCCAGCTTCAATGAGTATTGAGAGAAGAATTATTATCCGTTGGTACAACTAGACAATCCTTTTGCTGTACTTTACGTATTACTAGGTAAGAGTAAGAACAGAGCCAGACAATGCACTTTACTCAATGGTTTGTACTATGATTGCTAAAGGGATTTGTGGTCATGGCAACTACAAGAGGATTTTACCAATATGTTGCCACCAATGTCAGCTTTCAAGAGAGTCATAGCAGCTCCAAACTTATCTAGGAAAACAGAAACCAAAGAAAATGAAAGTTACTAAATAGTACAGACAACACTTGTATATTTAAGGTAAAGAAACTCATTATTACATATAACGACAACAGACAATCACAATGATATAGTTGAGCATACGTATATTGTTATATCACCCAGTCAAAAACTCAACTGAGAAGCATTTAAAACCTCCAAGAATCATATTTACATTCTTTGCAATTTGCAAACATGTCAATCATAGTCTCATAGACTTGCCTCAACTTACTGTAACGTAACCATATCTATACCACTCTAAACATTGAGCAATTTATATTATTTTTTATCAATATAATTGTAAACTCGACCATTATTTCAACGCATTATTTACATATCAAACAAGTTTTGAAATTATTGACCAAACACATATTATTTTTAGGTTTTATATTCTCTTTATTTTGAGCCGTGATTTCAAAACTCAAGGTATTTTAACTTTTTAACTTTATATTTTATATTGGTCAGATTAGAGATTTTGGTTATGGAACACATAGCTAAGTTTTAAAAAATTAAAGAGATTTTCAGAGGTTATGAGAATGATTAGTTTATATTTATAATGATTGGGTATAAGATCTTAAAAAACGAATATTATAGGACACAAAGAATATTTATAAATGTTTGTTTATTACTATTTCAACCAGTTATTTAAATATTTAAGTTGGTAACAAAATACAGACTATTAAACAAGTTGGGTCAAAAAACTAAACCTATGAAAGTTTATATACTAGATTATCATTTTTTTTTAAACAAAAAAAAAAGATTCATTTTCTCAAGTTCAAAAGACTATCTTTTCTTAAAAATATAATTATGGTAATCACACAAATTTCTATGTCTTTGTTGTAAAATTATATGTTGATATATTCCATATATACAATTTGGTTCTTATTGCATAGTCTTTGGAAATTGAAAAAAAAAGAAATAAGATGGCAATTATTACTTTTTAAATGGTTAAACAATAAATAACAACTTCAGTTAAATATGTATATGGTTTTTGACAAAAGTTGATAGTAAAAATATTTCTACTAAAACGATTTTGTTGTTTGTTATTAAAAGCGATGCTCTGTGACAAGAAGTGTTTTAAAAACCGGAACCGGCTGGTTGGATCATGACTCTCTCTCTTTTAAACAATTTTGAGTTGTGCTAAAAACCAACAATTTGGTTTAAGAATCGTCCACTCGCTAAAACCGATGGTCCAGTTCGATATTAAACCCTATTTTTCAAATTCAAGTTAAAAATGTAAATGTTTTTAAAAAATTCATAAAACCTGTTTTGTTTTTAATATCTATTTAAATAAATTGCTTTTATTATATTTTATATTATTTTTGAAGTTCTCATTTTATTTTCATATCATTTTAGCTTCAAACAATAATAAAAAATCTTATAAAAATAATTTTATAGTTATACATATATATATATAGATACTTAACTTAAAATTAAATTAAATTTAAAACCAAGTTGGACCAGTGTGACCATTGACATAACTGAGATGTCAAAGTTAATATTTGGTTTGGTATTCAAAACATTGAGGGCAAGGATAAATGAATATCATCAAGTTTATAAATAAGTAGAATAAATAAAATTATTCATAACAACAAAATATATACAATCTTAAATTTATTTAATATCATTTTAAATTTAAATAAAAAAATAATTCATTTCATATACTTAATTTTCAAGTTTTGATAGTGATTATTTTCTACCAACATTTTGAAGATGGAAAATATAAAACTACATATTAAAATATTATACTAATTATTATGTAAGTTATTTATACCAAAAATAAAAGGAGGATTCTGCTAAATATTAGAAAAACTATATTTTGTTAAAAAAAAATTAGTATTATTTATGAAACTCTTACTTGCATTAACTACAATGATTTTGTCAATCGTTATCTTTTATTATTTAATTTAACATTCTATTTCTTCTGCTTTTAATTATAAACTCATATAATATATTATACATAAAAAAAATAAGATTGAAAATTTTGTTTTAACAGATTAGCCGCGCGTAGCGCGGCCAAAAAATCTAGTTTGTGTAAGAGGTAATAGTTTTTTTTTGTGTTGGAAGTTTTAATTTATATAATTGTGTAAAATGTATGTTAATATGTCATTTCATCTTTGGCGTGGTAATGTACTAATGTAATTAATTGTGAAATTTCATTGAGTTAATTATGAGGATGTTTTCATAATGTGGAGAGCTATAAATTATTTTGGTATTAACAATGCCCTTCCTATATTAGTAACGTTAAGTAATTAAGTTTGGGGGATCAACTTGGTTTTGTGTTTGCCAAACTAATTTCAATGTGTCTGGTGCTATTTATTAATTTCACTAAGGAGTTCTTATTTGTTTTCTTTGGTTATATGTAGGTTTTATTTAAAAATTAAACATTGTTTTATGCATTTGTAATTAGCTTTTTTTTTTTTATAATATGTGCATGTGATTTTCTTATGGATTTTATTTTACAAGAGACTTAAATGGATTTGAAAAATACAAAGACAAAAATCCCACAGAAAACTTAAGAATTTGTAAACATGAATTAGAATCTATATGTTCGATTTGAAAATGAGTAAAATTTACTTGTAAATTTTTACTAGGTTTGTAAATCAATTAAATTGCATAAATGATTATTATGAGTTCAGAAATGGTCAAAAGTGGTTTAACTGGATATCAAACCAGCTGAAGAAGCTAAACCCGACCGCTTAACCAATTCTTTGTATTTATTATTTTCTTAATTATCATGTAACTGTAACATTACTTTGTTTCCTAGAATGAAGGATCAAAGTATCTTTGTTTCAAGGGATCCATGATCTCACATTTGTTACTTGTTTCGTTTCATTATTTAAATCAACGGAAAACCAAAAAAAAATGATTAATGTCGAAATAAATCTCGAATTCTTGTTACTTCTTACTGTTATCGTTATGTTCTTCAAGCTTTGACAACAATCAAAGCTATCAGATTAACACCCTTACTATTTTGATAAAATAACATAAGATTAAAAACTGAGCAGCGAACCATCATATTTGGAGTGAGTCTGTTTCGAGATTTTCCATGGATCCATTTTTAAT